ATACCCAATATAATTTTAGACCCTGAATCTCCTATTCTGGTCCCTCCTTTCTTCTCCTCCTCCTCACACCCTTGCTTTGTACATTGCCAGTCTTTTAAAAGATTCAGTCTCTTGGTAACTTCCAGCTCACAGAAGTCTGCCACCATCTGCCAGCTGCTTGGGAAGAAACCGCCCCCAAAAAAATCCTACTCCCTTGTTCCCAATATTATAATGTTATCACTTTACTTTTCTTACCACGTTTTTGAAATAAAGCTCCTTTTCTGCCTTCAAATCCCTTAATAATACTCTGAACCATTTTCTGTAACTGTTTGTACTTGGGCTGCAGCACAGATATGTTAGCATCACAACCTCCTTTTGAAACTCCTGTTCCTAGACTGACCTCCTGTCTCAAAAAATTTCCCATCAAGTTCAAGACTTCCAAACAAAATCTCTTCTCTTCCTTAAACATCTCAAATTCTTTTCCTATCTTTGCAGCTAACTGCAGGACAGCCACGTTTATATGAAAGACAATATTATGTTGTATTAATTACACAGTAAATAAATGAATAGCTCTTATTTCATGGTATGCATTGCAGATGCACTTGAAATAAAGTCACACAGCAAATGACTAAAGTCACCTACTAAAAATGCTTCTTAAATTATTCTAATGAGCTTTTCAATTTTATCCTGTAGCCAACAGTTTGTAATGTTAAAAGCAACTGTTAAGAGCAATGTTATCAAAGCAGCAATCAAAGTAGTACAGAGAGGATTTTTAATTAAAAGTGAAGATACTAGCAAGATACGACAGTCCTTTAAGAAAATGCACAACTTGAAGTTCAATTATCTGTTAAAAAAAAAAATGATCTAGGCGTCTTCCAAAGATCTTTAGCTATAAAGCTAGGACCACTTCTTAATATACTGGAGTACATTTGAGTAGAAAATTTGAGGATGTGATCAAGCATGACTCCAAAACATAGTAAAAACTTCAGTCTGTTAAATTATCACATTTTTGTCTTTGTTTCTGGTACAGTTTTGTTTTCTGAAGAAGTGCAGGCTTTTTTTTTTTTTTTGAGACACACACACAGGCAAGATGACTGGATATTTATTATGGAAACTGATATTAATCAAGCCAAGTCCTAGCATCATAAGAACTTTTCTTCTTAAGAAGGATGAAGACTCCTCATTATATGAAACATCACCAGCAGTAAAATTAACCTGACAGTTTTTTTGGCATTCCTGACCCTGGCCCCAGCCTAATAAAAGCACATATAATTGAATAGGCTTTGCTGAAATGAGAGGAAAGAATGTTTTAAAGACAGTAGAGAATCTGATTAGATAAACTTATGGAAAGGGTTCACAGTAGTAAGGTCTTGTTGGAAAGAATCCTGAGCAAAATCATGGGAGTGTTACTTAGAATAAGGAGCAAGAGACATTATTACTGAAGCAGGGATTCAGAGCAAAATTATGCAGCATGTCTCAGAATTAGTGTGTAAGAGGTTAGCACTCAAGCAGCATTTTATTAGATTTATACTTCGTCAAATGTTTCATTTGCTCACCACACTCTTCAACTGCTATGTTTTGTTCTGAAGCCTTGGGTGCCTCTGTAGCAGTGGTACCACTTCCACATCCACCTACAATATCCCTGCTAGTCACGATTAAACTGGGATGAACTTGGCTTGCAGCTGAGGTTGCGGCTTTGTGCCCAACTTCAGATGGTTTAAGTTTGATTTGAGCCTGTCCAGATTCATTTAAATCATAAGTTAAGAGCTTCTCCTCCAAGGAAGAGCCTAGATAAACAGCAGGAGGAATTTGTATTTGGTTATTTGTATGCATTTGGATTCTTCTCCCATATCCAACTCCCACTCCCTCAAAGTCACAAACTCCTATCAAGTGCCAATCTTAACGGCTGATTCCCTGGAGTACTACCAATCATTGCTCAGGATAACAGTACAACTAGGATTAAACACCCTCTTCTATGACCTGACCCACCTCTGCAGTTACTGCTGTTAAAGGACAAGAAACAAGATAACCAACAGAACAGGGAATGCATAGAAATCTCTCTCAGCATTATGAGCACTTCTACCTCACAGCAAGATGAAGGACTAAGCATTTGATCCAGTGCCAACTTAAATCTACAGGAGTCCTTAATTCTACCAGGCATCAAATGCACCCCTACAAAAGGAATATGTAGTCAAGCATCATGTTAGCATAACAACCCCATTTATGCCCATCTCACCTTTCCTCCAACCCTCCTATTCTATACATTCATGAAAAAAGGCCCCAACACACAGGAAGCTCTACACTTAGTTGTCTAATGAACGGTACCATGCCATGCTATTTAACTTCTCTTAGGCCCACACAAAACTTCTTTTTGTATGCGCTAGTGTGCAGCTCTCTGCCCCAGGAAAAGGAAATAGATCATTCAAGATCATAGAAACTTGGTCCCACATGAGAAAAATAAATTATTGCAAATTAAGAAGAGGTTACACACAAAAAAAATCAACTCAAATCATCTCTTGGAAGTCTACTTTTGTGAGAAAAAATATTATTAGGATTTAATGTAAATCTATTTCAAGGTATCTATTTATTACCTGTATGTGAATTTTATTCAACTGTATTACAAGCCTGAGTTTAACAGCATCATTGGTAACTTTTCCATGTAAATACCACCTTCAATTGTAGAGATAATGAAGATGTAATGAGTTACCTGTTTTATGGGTATTGAGTGAAGATGAAGAGGTAGAGAAATAAGGAACCTGCCCAATGGTACCATGCAGGACGGATGACACTGGAAGCTGGACTGAAGGGAGAAGTTGGACCACAGCCTTTTCTGAAAGCAGCTGCCCACCCTCAGTGGTAGGCTGGAAAGACTGAAAAGGCTGGGAAGAGAGTTGAGGCACCAGTGTTGGGGCTTCAACGGGCCCTTGTATAAAGTCACTAAATTCGTCATCATCAAGAAAAGCAGAGGGTTGAAAGACAGTTACAGTAGGATGGGATGGTGAGGGGTGATCTGTAAATGGAATGAACAAACACACACACACACACGCACACAATGGAAAGTCATGAGGAAAAGGAACTACTGGGTTGAAAAACAAGGGAAACAATGTCTAAAAGTGGCAATTCTTAAATGTGCATAGTGGCTGAAGAGAATCGGGAATATCAACAAAACCATTTGATCAAAAAAGGAGAAGAATATTCACTACACTGTCAACTACAGTACTGATGCACAAGGTAAAATTATACTGCCATTTTCCACTATAAACCCCCTTTTCCAGGTCTTTATAACGTGGATATAAAGGGCTGAAATGTGAGACTTTTACAAGCCCATACTAGTAAATATAAATTGAAGGGAATTATTAAAGTTTAAAACTAGTGGTATCAAATACACTTAGCAGGGAACTAGGAGTTGGGTTCTACCCTTATTCTGCCACTGGCTTGTTACTACATTTTAGGCAAGTCATTTAAACCCCGAGTGTCTAGGACTACTCACTTTCATAAAGTACACTGTTCTAATTAAATAGAAAGTGCTATATAAGCGCAAAGTACATTTTAAAAAGTGCGACAGTCACCAGGTTCTTCTTTCAGGACAAGATTTTAAGCAAGTAGTGCTTTTGTTTGCCCATGTTGAAAAAGCTTAAGGGGACCTAACCTTTAGAATAAAACAGCAGTTCCAGAGAATAGCATGTTTCTGGATCAAACTAAGAGACAGAACACACTCATACATATATACATACATATACATATACATACACACACACACAAAAAACCCTTCACAGAGCGTGGCCTATGAAATAAATATTTATTTCATAGGCCATGCTCCGTGAAGGTCAGACACTAAGTAAAATACAACATGTCTTTTGTTGCCTGTATTTACATATATTTTAGCCTAAACAGTTATCCCCCCATGGTTCCATTTCGATGCTGCTTAATAGTACAGCTAACACAAACAATTCCAGCAAACCTAATTTTCAAGAAGCAGGTCATGCATTATTCCACACACAGCATACCTATACTAGATAGGGCACCTCCAATCCCCTAGCCCATCTTGTGTCCCCTAACATATAAGTTTCTAGTTCCATATTATTCAAGCTAACTAAAAGCTGGTCTTTAATTAAAAACCTAGGCACCCAATTTTTACCAGTCTCATCAAGCAGTCTTTTAAGGCAGCCTTCAATCATGTATTTTGTAATAGTTTTCTGCTTAGCTAAAGGAAAACCTCCACAGGGGTCAAAATGGAGGTGCATTAAAACACACTAAAGGCTGCTTTTGAACAAGTTGCCTCAGGAGAAAAAATTAAAGAGGGGGGGAGGGGGGCGAATTACAGGAGGCTGCAAGCGTGCTTTTCAGAAATGATTCACCATAATGGCACCACTTCATTTCACAATGCTGTCTGCACTGGTGGATGGTTCCTTAAAATGTCCTGACCATTAAGAAATAGCAGCAAAGCTTCATGGTCATTGGTTCAATGGGGGAATTTTTGTGGAAAGGTAATTTCACAGGAGTAAAATGGTCTGCTTTTTGGGGGGGAATGACATTATTCTCTTCCATCCATGGACTTTGTTTAAACCTTGTATTATGCACTGCTGAATATCAAAATGCTCACATCAGAATTTCAAATCCTGTATTTTTAATACTTTGCATTAGGTTATTGAACTAGTCTAGACTGTCTGCAGTTTAAAAAAACCAAAACAAAACAAAATCCTGTTTCCTAAGTGTGGATTATTGTGACTACCTTATTTATCTCAAGGACTTCATGTTCAAGAACACCATTAATCCCTTTAACCAGAGTTTTAAGTTTCAACAGAAAGCTATTGTATATAATATATTTTGATTTTTTCATTTAATATAATAGTAGTTTGTCTGTCATCTCTTCCCTACAATGATTTCCAATTCTCCTAATTGACTTACCATGCCATGACCCAGATGCGTTGCAGCAACCTACAAGCTCAGTAAATATGAAATGCGCTTGTTGTTATTCTACTATACCTCCCATGAGAACTTGGAACTCTCTATATTCTTATCCTGTTGTTTGAAATTAGGTCTGACTAGAACAGATGTGACAGATCTCATAGGTGCAGATACAGAACAAACCGATGATCCTTTTTTCCACCCTTATCACTGGTTTATCTATTTGGGCTAATCAACTTCGTTCAGATTCATGCTATCACCTTTTGCTGCTGCTGTAGTAAGATAGTGCTTTGCCAAAGAGAGTATAGTATTCCTTAACAAAAAAGGCCTCATATGTCCTGTGTTGATGTTCTATACAAGTTACTGTAAATCCACGTGTGTCCAGAACAGCCACTTTTAAAAAAAAACAAAACGTGCCAGTCTGCATTCTGCTCCTAGAACACTTGTGGAAAGTCACAAGATGTTAATGTTGAAAATGAATCTCCACTCATATGGACAGTTTCCTACTGGTCCAACAGTCAGTTGTTCTTCGATGAACTTGCAAGCAATTTCAAGATCTACAAAAAACAGCAGTCACAAAGACACAGCGAGGCTAAATTTCATCTGAGGACAAGCTAGCCAAATGAAGCTTCATTTCAAGGAGAACTAAGGACTCAGAAACCTTGCAACTATTTTTCCCCCTATTTGGAGAGAATCTTTTCTATCAAAGTGCTAACAGAGTCATTCCTCAGAAGAGGGACTCAAAAAAAAAAAAAAAATCTTTTAAATTTTGCCACACCTTGAGAACTGCATCCGTGTACACTATTATAGAATCCTGAAATAATTTACAAATGTTTTGATAATGCTTAACACTTACATAGCACTTTCCAACATCAAAAGCACTCTACAAACACTAATTAGTTCTTTGGTTAAAAAAAAAAAAAAAAAGAAACTCAGCTATAACATGTAGAACAGCAACATACAAAAGGAAGGTAGCAGGTTTTACAGCTCAGTCTTGGCACTCATTTATGTGAGACTTTATATTAAAGATTTAATTTAAAAATACCAAAATTTTTATAATCTATAAAACCGTAGCTTTCGCTCATATGCTTTACAACGCATAATGCATCTGCCATGAAACCTCAGCTCACCAAAAAATCATAGATAAACATTGATTCAGCTCACACCATCAAAATACAAAAGACCTCCTTGAAATATGTTTCCTCAGACAGGAAGCAGCATAACACTGTAGCATTATTTTTAGTTGGAAAAAAAAATACCTGGCTTTTTGGGATGTGATGCTGGGGTGGGGTGCATTTTAGCATCTCTGGAAAACCCATCTAAGTTTCCTTTAATGGCTTCCAAAGCATCATCTCGGCTCTTCTCACCTGCCTGAAACATGATATGACAGATACTTTTTAAAAAGGAATCACACGGTATTCTTTCAACATTCACTCCTCTTTATTCTGAAGAAATAGCAGGATTTGTTTTTAAAAAAAATCTAGTTTAAGTTCCACGTTCTCCAGAAAGCATAACACAAACTCCTTTACTTAAAACAGAATTTGTTCAACATTATGGCAGCAAAGGTTCTTCTTCCACAGAAATCTTCATGTGCTTTTACAGGAATGACGAGACAACAAGCCTAAACTCTGAAATCCTCTGCTTAACAAGAATCATTTTATTCACTAAAAAAGAAAAACAACTTGAGAGCAGAGTCAACTAACAAATGCACTGAACAATTAATTATAGAAGGCTAACTTGTTCCCAAACAACATACATGGGGTTGATTACTTATTTTTTCCAGGGCACATCTTCACATTCATTAATGCACTGTACTGTATTACAAACACATTAGATTAGTACCTGTAATAACAGGTACAAATTTAATGTGCTGCAATTGGCACTACTACGCATTAGCACAGATGAGCACTGTGTGTGTGACATTTAATGTCGCTTAGACTAATCTACTGCACATTAGCAGGGTTTTTGCCAGCTCCACTAATACGCAGTAGAATTAATCCAATGGGCATCAAGTGTCTTGTGTAAATGCAACCCAAGAGTGGAGAATTCATTATGCGACACCAAAAGTCTTGTTTTGTTTACACAGCATCAATAGTGTGCAGAGTTAAGTGCATCAGATATTTTCTAGGCAGACAAGTTTCTTTTAGTTGGTCTAATAAAAGATATCAGATTTACCCAAACAGTTGGAAAAATTCTTCTTTGCAAGCTTTCGGGTACAAACACCCTTCTTCAAATATTTTCTAGGAGTTTGATACAAAGGCTATTGAATTTAGTAACTCACATTGATTTCAACAGGTTTATGATTAGGTTAGGAAGTGTATACATAGGAAGAATTTACTTCTGCCCTAATACATGAAAGCCATCCTTTTTAAAAAACATTACTCAGGGTGTACCTTCGGTTTTACACTGCTTAGGAGTCTCAACTTTTGTTTCTGCTCTTCAAATTGGCGCCGTTTTCTTTCTTCTTCCAAGAATTTTTGCTGGTGCTCAAATCTTTTCCTAAAGCAAAATATCAAACATGCTAAATAAGCACAGTGATGACAATTTTTATGCTCACCTTGTGAGAGATCTTCTGGGTTTCACAGGTCTTCCCTTTTTAATTTAAATGCTCTGGAGCACGCTTCTCTCCCGTCTCATGAAATGGGTAAAAATAAAATCGCCAACCAAAACCAAACAGCAACAAAACCCAACTATGATCCACTGTATACAAGGTATACATATCAGACACAATGAAATGGTCTCCAATAGCTTTGGAGTTCTTTTAAAGAATCCTAATGGGTTTTGAAGAAAAATTCTCTAAGAGGATGGTAGATTATGACACTGAACTAGTTGGCAAATGCCTCCCCAATGCCAGAAGTAGGAAAGCCTCACTTACTGTTGTTCTTCTGCAAATTGTTTCTGCATGTCAGGCGTGTATTGTGGAGCAGCTGGACGCATTCCTAAGAAAGGAGCCTGTCCCATGTAAGGCATTCCAGTTGCTGACATGGGTCCTAGGGGCATGCCACCCTATAACAATAACATAAATCTAATATGAAGCTCTGATTTTATGTACAGAGGCATAAGTATCTGGCATCTGCACTGTACCAGGCTTGGAGCTAACTGGAGGCCATGAAATTAGAGCATCACCTCTGAATTTGGGCAATGGATCACCATGGACAGCCTAGATGCTGCAGGAAAAAGAGATGGTTATTGGGTAGGTGGCACTTTTTGTCAGTATGGAGCCAATGGCCCTACTTCAGATTTGAGAGCATGCTGGTCTTTTGGAGAAATTAAGTCATGATCCAGACTAAGTGATTTACAAATCCATGAAAACTCTCTCAAGAGTGAAGTGCCCTGTCCCACACAGTCTCCCCTCTTCCCCCATTATTAACTGTTTTATTCTTTCCTTCCCATCATAAATGATAGTGTGCGTCTCTGCTGTCTTAAAATACACAATGCCAGCAGTGCCTGCACATTGCACTGGGGGTATAAAATAATTCCTAGACACACAGTATGAATAAAGTTTGTCAGTTACTTTGGGAATTCAGCTGGGTGGAAAGAACATATAAATACAGGCACATGTGATTGCATAATAATTACAGATCATAGAATCAGAGAGAAGTAGGGCTGAAAAGGACCTCACCACAGATCAGCTAGTGTTACCCCCTGCCTGAGGCAGGATCATCCTTATCCAAACCCGTGGAGAAAAAAAATTCCCTAATGTTTTCACTGCCTTGGCAAATTTATATACATCTGGCAGTGTGAGGAAATGTTTTCCTTCTTTAAACATCATGCCAGTATTTTATACTTATTCCACTAACCAGTTCCAGAACTATTATATTTTCAATTGAAACAAACATTCATTGGTTATTGAAGATTAACATGAAAATACTGGTTACACACACAGATGGTTGTCTAACACATTTTCAATTAGATCACACCAACAACGCTTGCTCACAGTTTACTATACTCAGCAAAACTGTTTTCTAAACATAATGTTTATTTAGGTAACTGAAGCGTTTTAGATGTCTACGTTTTAAGCCATCCCACAAACCTAATATTTTATTAGAGATTTAATCTCAACAACATTTTAAAACATTCTAGGGTGATGTGGTCCTTCTTAGCCCTAGTGCTCAAGCTTAGAAAGTGTTGCCAGTATAATTAAGAGCAAGGGAAGAAAAGCATACCACTAACCAACATAAATACATTGGCAAAACTCTTACTGTAGATGCAAATATACTAGCAAAAACAACAACAAAAAACCCACCCCTTTTTGCCAGTATAGCTTCTTCCATGTGGAGTAGTAGTACAAGATGTTAGCCATAAAAAGAGTTCTGCTGTTATACTCTGCATGCATGCTTGGAGGTTTGCTGGTCTGAGCATACTGGTACAGTTATAACCAGCAAACCCTTCCTAGTATAAGCAAGGCCTTAAATGAAGCTCTTGCTATTACCATTAGTGTCACATTCAAGACAAAATAAAGCTAGAGCAGTAAATTGCTTTTATCCTCTTAATCTATTTTTAACCAGCTGCTACAAAAAACATCTTTCCACTGAAGTTCTGTAAACCTCACTATCCATCACATTAATCCACTGCAAACAAAATCAAAAAAATATCGTTAAAAGGACTGGCAAAAAAAAAAAAATTAAATTCAGTTAGATAAATTCAGTCGTGTACTTTTGATTAAGTGTTGATATTGTTAGTACGGCTAAGCCATTGAAGATTTATATATAATGAATGCTAAAGGCCGGTACTATTTTCTCCAAAAATAAGCAAAATCAGAGTTTTAAATTCCTCACATTATGGCTTACGTCATGCTGTAATCTTACTTCTCAGCAACTGACTATATAAAATGTATTTATTCTTCACATGTAATGGGAAAAAAACCCTGAGAGGATTATGAGCAGTTATGTAGAAGGAAAGTTATTACACTATGCAAAAAGAGAGAGAAATTAAAGACAAAACCACAGGGAGAACAACAATTTAAAAAATTGATAAGACAGAGGAAATTAAGCTTAAATAAATTACCAAAATAATTGCTGCTTTTTGAGCAAGGAAAACTTTCATGAATTTATAAACCACTATATCTCTTTACTGTATTCCACAGATAGCCACCATACATAATGGAGAGAGAAAAAAAAAAAATCAGAACTCATTGCATTTCCCATGACTGCCAATATAATAAACACAACCAATGAAGCTTTCCATAAAGAACTCACTTAAAATACTGCATAATATACAGCTTTGACAGAAGGTGACTAGATAAGAATAAACACACTGAAAGGGAAGAAGGAAGAATGAAACAAAAGAAAGGTTAAAATGCAAAAAGGAGCATGCTGTGCGAGTTCTAGATCATAACAACTACTTAAGGACGCAGCACTACTACTAATGGTTAAACCTTGCTATGGGCACCGTCAGAATTACCTAACAAGAGGGCTGATTTTACAGTTTGCTGACAGATTTGTTTCCATGACTGCTCAGTGCCTTATTTCTTCCTGAAGGAAGGGTCTCCGTGTTTAGAACAATAATACGTACAAGTAGCAAGACTCCAGGTTGTAATAATGTGGAGTACCCAATAATATCAGAGTTATTCTAAATGTTACTAATATTGTTCTTCCCCCCTGTACTCTGCTAGTTTCCTCGCTACAGCAGTGAGTAATGCATGCCAAACTCCCACCATCTCCCTCAATCCCCATTATATTAAATATAGATAATAGCAGTCTTTTCTGCCCAAGTACAGGGGGGCTGGACCCGATGATCATGTGTGGTCCCTTCCAGCCCCTAACATCTATAAATTATCCAGATCACAGTGAAACTTGCACAGTTCCATAAACATTAGGAAAATTATAAAATATTTTCACAGAGATTGTGCTGCCAATGCAATTTATAAAGTCAGCAGGCTAGGAGTTATATTCCACCTCTTTACTCTCAGGTCACATCCTAGAATCACAGAATCACAAAGTTGGAAGGACCTCAAGGGTGTAATCCTGCTGGTGTAATCCCCTGCACAAATGTAGTATCCTGAGATTAACTGCAGCTATAACAGGGTCCAAGACACTTTCTCGGCGAACATAGGTGGCTGCCAATATACACACACACACACACAGTCAGGAATCCACTTCATTTCCCATCTACAGAAGCAAAATGTTACCTCACATACCTGCATGGTCATAGGTCCAGGAGACATCTGAGAGCCATAATTCATTCCCATCATGCCTGGCATATTGGACTGCATGACAGACATCATTGGAAAACCTTGCTGTTGCATGGGAATCAAACCTAGACAAACACATTAATACTAATTAAAGTTCCTGATCTGTTTGAAAGCCTTTCCTCAAATAGCACAAGCAGTAACAGACACACAGCATACGGGGATGTTCGCATTTTAAGGAAAGAAATATTATAGAGAATCCTCAGAAATTAGGCAAAGGAACCCTTCACTCATACTAATCATTCTTTAAAAGAACCCTGAGGGTTTCTTCCCTTTGATTTTTTGGACTATAATTTCCAAAAATAATTGCTCTAAATAGCCAGAGTGACTTGTGCTCATCTGTCTCCAGAACCCTCCTGAAGAGGTTATTCAGATAATAGTCTTTAAAAGGCAAAGATTTTACATTCTCAGTTGGCTGGACAATTTGCATGTATGCACGGGTAGTTAATCCAGAAAACTAGTTTATCTTGTCAAAATATCTTTGAATCACGGTTGATTTAGACAAGCCAGACAGCTGCTTATTAAGTCATTGAATAAAACAAAAGGAATTAACGGGGAGATGTTATAAAATGAGATTACATTATCTTGGCAGACACGGGCCAATTCTAGACACATTCACTAGCAGCACTCCTGCAAAACAATTAACTGTACATAATTTTCTTTTACAAGAAACAACTGCTTCTGGAAACACCAGTAAAACTTCAGCTTGCCATTCTGAAGTTAATCAGTGTTTAGCAAATGGAATTTTCTTATAAAAGTTTCTCTAGCCCTCCTTCATTTTTAATTATTTAAATATAGTAGTATGGAATAAAAAATGAGAAAAAAGGGGATTAAGGTCAAGGCTTAGGTGTCTTATTAATATTTTGTATTTATGTCATGCTTTTTATCCAAGGATCTCACACCCTTGCAACACCTACAATACAGGTATACCAACTGATATATTTAAATCCAGAACAAGGAAAAAGCAGACTCTGTGACAGATTCAGGACTCCATAGCCTTGCTCCAACCTACTGGAACATCCCCCACCCCCAATAAGTTAAATGGGAAAACTGCAAACAAAGATATATGATTCAGCTTAGCAATACGATTGAAGAGGGATAAAGGTAAAAAACATAACCAGCAGACAGGCTTATTCTTCACAATATTACGGTTCAAGAGAGAACACAAAATTACTGTACATGTGATACAAGATGTTTAGCATGAACTTTCATGCAAAGAAAGGGGCACAAAGGTGTCCACCATCTGAAGTTGATTCATACCTTGAGGAGGGCCAATGCTGCCTGCTACAGGGAACATGAAGCTGGAAAAGAAACCAAAAGAACATGTATGAGTCAACAACTTCATAATTCAATACAGTATTTGAGCAATTATCCAAATATAAGGAATACAAAAGCTGTGCCACGTCATCAGTTCCTGCTGTGGTACAATAACACAAACTGTGCCATTCACCTGGCTGATAAAGTCCATACAAATTGCAGCAAATTAAATCAACCAGGGTGGCCGCCTCCTATACAACGACATGGACAATTGCTACTGATGGGCGTCAGGAAGGATTCTCTTGACTTAATCCTGAAGAGAGCTCCAAAGGAGGACCAAAATGGTTTTGAGGCATCTACATGACCAATGGGAATGTTTTCAGCATCATTTTGTGTTGGGTCAACCGTGGGTGAATTTCTTGGTACAGGCAAACAAGGTTCCTTGGGTGAATTTCATATCTTTTATTAGACCAACCCAAATGGTTGGAGAATAGTTATTAAGCAAGCTTTCAAGTTCAAAAACCCTTTGTCAGGCTAAGGAAGTTTCAGCAGTTGGTGTGTACAGGCAAGGCCTTTAAGAACTGTAAAATTAATGAGACATCCACTGCTGGATAAATCTGATTCAGCAGAATCATTAACTACTTTATAACACTTTTTCTGCAGAGAAAGAAACTACCCAAGAAATACTATACACTTGCCTTACATTTTTCCTCTTAAATACTAAGTAGTAAAAGACAGGAGGAAATAGACAATGCACTAGTTTGTGTTTAATTTTCCATTGTATCCAGTTAAAAGAACAAAAATAAATGGGGGATGGGGACAAAAAAAAAATCACCAAAAGCAGCAAGATAAAAACATATTCAAAATTCAACTGAAATGATAATACCACTGCAGAGAAAGAAACTACCCAAGAAATACTATACACTTGCCTTACATTTTTCCTCTTAAATACTAAGTAGTAAAAGACAGGAGGAAATAGACAATGCACTAGTTTGTGTTTAATTTTCCATTGTATCAGTTAAAAGAACAAAAATAAATGGGGGATGGGGACAAAAAAAAAATCACCAAAAGCAGCAAGATAAAAACATATTCAAAATTCAACTGAAATGATAATACCAACATCCCCACTTTGAAGCAGAAACATTAGCTTTGCCCAACAGAAAAAAAGAAAACCTAGTTTAGGGATACTGCTTGTAAGCAATTCCCAGAGACAGATGTCAGCAATAATTTACCAACCAAGAACTTCTTTCAGTGCCCCATCAACCTCTTGCATCAAAACACTACGCAAAGACAAAGAAGTGTGTAGACATTCAACTTCTCTCAACTCGAGACAGGGTGAGCAAGAGGCCACCTGACAAACTAAAAAAACAAAGCAAAGAGAAAAATGTCACGAGAATGAACTCCTTCTCATGCAAAGAAACCTGCACTGATCAGAAAACCATTCTCCTATGAGAATGTAAGGAAGCTGGATTCATGGCTGCACTTACTGTCCTCTTACTATGCAGCCTGTGTGTATAAATGAAGAATTCAATCCCAGATAAACACTGCATGTTTTCCTCCAGACAACCTCGTTTCTGATTTGAACCCAGGATCCTCTTAGCCCCTCCAATCTTTGTTCTGCCTAACCATCAAGTTACAATTTGCCTTAACCTTCCACAAATCTGAAATGCATACCTGCATCCGACCCAAAACAGACATTACCAGTTTACTTCAGTACCAGTCTGCAGGTTTTCTGTTACCTGAAACATCTCCCACAGTCCTGTTGAGGGTCTGCTTCAAAGATACAGTCTACCTAACTTAGAAATATGCATTGGGACTGGACTGCTCAAAGGGAATCCAGCCCCGATCTCCTGTGCCCAAAAGCTTATCAGTTTATTCGAGTAGGCCAGTGCACATGAAACAACTTTGGTAGCTTCAGTCCAGGCCTCAACAGATGGATACTGACAACATAAAACACATACAGCCCTGCTTTAAACAGGCAATCTCGTCTAAAGATTAAGCAGAAGGGCCAAATGATTTAATTCCTCTTTTGCTGCAAGAGAGGGTTCCTTCTGCACTAGGTTTGAGGCGTATTGACAGGACAGAGTGAATTAACTGGATTCCACCTACAGATCAGGGGTGTCAAACTCATCCCGTGGGAGGGCACACGTGCCAGCTCTACCCCTGTGCACCACACCCAACCTGCACTGGCCCAGTGAAGCATGCGACACACGGGGCTATTCTAGGACTCACATTACACACCGCATATAGGGCCAGTCTGGAGTGTGTGCTACATGTGGCACCGAAGCCAGACCAGCCATGTGCACTCAATCCAGCAAGTTTTGCCAGTCTGTGGGTCCAATCTGGACTAGATTTAGTATGAGAGTCCAGTCCAGCATGGGCACTGCATGCAGGGGGTGCCCCAGACTGACCCTGTGCCAGCTCCAACCACATGCAGTGTACCGGGCCTGGGCCAGCACGTGCTGCACGCATGGTGCCGAGACAAGACCCAGACAGCACTGCAAGCCAAATGACTGGGCTCCGCAGGCTGGAACCAGTACACAGGCCGTATCTTTTACACCCCTGCTATAGGTAGAGGATTTCTGTCCCAAAGGCTGCCAAAACAGCACTTCTTCCCAGCATATATAAAACGTATGCGACTAAAAGTAGTTCCATTATGTGCATTTCTGTAAGAACAATCAGACTTGCAACTAGCACCTTGCTCCAAACAAATTATTCACTTGAAACCTGCAGCATTTTCAAGCCTCATCCTTACAAGCGAACATACATTACTTTATGAATAATGAGAGAAAATTTTATTTGAGGGGGGGAAAGCATTTTCAGCTCTCTTTTTATTTGGACAGGGAGTGCTTCTATCAAAGTGTCCTCAGTTATTTTAAATTATTTCCTGTTTCTTCTTGGCGGAAATTCTGGTGACAGAAATAAGGATCTGTTCTAGTTTCACTGAAATGTAATGTAATCTGAACAAGCGCAGAGAGGTACCGTTGCATGCTGGAAGCAAATAAAGAACAGTTGATTAAATATTCATTCCTTTCTAGAGAAGTGGTGATTTATTTATAAGCATCCTAAAAAACTGAAGCCAATTAGAAGCCAACTGTAAGAGCTGGTTAAGTGTGACAAAGTTGGTTTCTCTAATAAAATATTCTCTCTGTGTGTTTAGGCTGCACTGTGCACCTTGTAGAGTCAAAGATTTAGCATGCATTTGTCTACTTCTAGGCTGTACAAGAAACCGAAAACTACATCAGGAATTCTGGGACGGAAAAAAATAAGCGTCTTTTCAATGACGCACAAACACAGAGGAGAAAAAAAAATGGGTATACACATCCAATTACAAGCAGATTCACAGATATTCCCTTTTATCAAAAGAACTCAATTTTCTTCCTCAACAATGGGCACAATTTTGTTTTTTAATAGCAATAATTAACTGTACTAGAATTCATTTATAAAAACGAATTACAATTTACTGATGCGAACGGAGCCGATTCCTAACTAAGATGCTATACGCGATAACACAACTTTTTCAGCTGACAAGAGAATTACGTGCTGAACAAACCAGGTACTTTGTAACACGGGAAAACCAGGTAAAATATGGAGCTGCCTAATTTCCAGGAGTTGCGTGCTGTAATTAGTAGTCTGCAACGCCCGCTGTGCTGGCTTAAGACTAAAGGGGAGTTAAAAGTAGCTGAAAAATCAATGTCTAAAAGCAGCACGTGCGATCGACGCGATATAACGGCCCACAGCTCCGCTTTATATACGATCATCGCAGAAGAGCCTTGTATTTCCCCTTATTCTACAAAAGAAAATGTCATTTATCTGTAGATATTTCTACACCAACATCCATCCGCCTCGTCCGTATCGCCGGCCACTCGTGCTGCCGAGGACACGACGCCGATATTCAGCGTACTTATTCTCTCACGAGCAGCAGGACGCCGGGTGTGCTAGCAATCGCACGCGCAAAGAAGAGCCGCCGCCGCCGCCACGCACGCCGGGCGGGTAAAAACCAATGCTATCCTACGCGAGTTTCTCAGCAAATCGTCGACTTCGACCGTAGGAGCGCGACTGCCAGACCGCCACCGCTCAGCAGCAAATCCCCACCACGGAGCGTCCTCGCCGCCGCGACGTGGCACCGACAGACACACGGACAGACACACATTAATTATCCTGAAGTCCCCCTGCGCCCAAATGACCGCCTCCACGTCCTCGACCGCGCCGGGGGCACGCGGCTCGCCCCGAGGATTCGCCGCCGTTGGGATGTTAAAATGGGATGAGACACGGGGACTCAGTGGGATGAGGGGACACCTGCCGCGGTCTCTCGGCCTTCCCGGGAGCGTGCACCGGGGCTTTCCAGGGACGCACCCGGGCCTTCCTGGGGATTCACGCCGGCACCCAGGCCTGTCAGGGGAGCGCTCTGGCAACTCGCAGCCGGGGCCTGAGGAGAAGCATCCGCTGCCCCGCCGCGAGCCCCAGCTCTCCCCGCCGCCCAGGCGAGGGGAGCCGAGGGCTGCCCGCC